CCATCATTAGACTTCATGAATGTGAGAAGACTAAGCTTTTGTCAGAACAACCACGGAGGTTATGGCTTGCGAAGATAAACAGGCAAGAAACTCCCTCAAAACACGCAAGAATATGCTCGGAGCACTTTGTGTCAGGTGCGTATTGTATCTTATAATGTGTTGACAGACGTAATTTACTCAGTACTAACTTGTGTATGCTGATATCTGGTAACTTGAGAGTTTCATTATTTAGATTACTTTATTATGAGGAGGATCGGTGTCGCGTCCGAGGCTCTCGAGGGCAACGTAAATGTATTAAATAGATAATAATAGTTCTATGGTGGGCTAAAACAATGTTCACAAACAGCATTGCTTCTGTAAAAAGATCTGTGTCATAAAATAAACTGCTCTTTACGCCTGGAAAAATCAGTTGCCCACCATTCACCAAAACATACGGTCAAAAACGCGGAAATAAACAATAACAGCAATCCAGAGTGTCCGTGTGGCATTAGCATTAATTAAATTAATTGTTAATATAATTAAAATAATTAAATGGAGCTCCAACTGGTATTAAATCTAAAGTTTTTGAGAAATGTTTGCATTGCTTGTTAATTTTTGCTGCATAATTTGATCAAATATGTAAAACATGTCCGTAGCACGTTAAACTGTGGTGCCATTGTATTAATATACAATTATTTGTTCAAAAGTTGCCCTTTTTTTTCCAATTTGCGTTTGAATATCTACATTTATTCTCATTCTTCTGTTTAATGGAATGCACAAACACAGCAGCGTGCCATCAAAGATGGCGTCTCCGAGGAGGTCATGTGACATTCATTGGTCTGTGGGAACTATGTATACAATACAATTTATTCTTGTATAGCCCTAGGTCACAACAAAAGTCATCTCAGAGGACTTAACAAAACCATTGAAATCACCAACACAGGTCAGAGAATCAACAGCCAAAACACATGAAGAATATAAAGCACACACAGAAGAAAATGTCCATACATGTTGTAGAATGCTAAAGTGTCCTGATCATCACCAATCCTTTCTGTTGGACACTAACTGTCCAACAAGACCCTCCTGCATCGACAAGGAAAAACTCTTAAAAAACCCAGTGGGAAAAAGTGAGAAACCTTGGGGAGAACTAGGGAAACCCACAGGGAGGGAGACCCATATGAGAAAGGGATCCGCTCCTCCGGACGGACAGGCTAATGATCCAGGACCTAAGCTAGCTACAGAACGTGGACCAGTGGCCGCTGAACGTGGACAGGTCCGGTGCAGGACCGAAGCACTCCCAGGCGGGTCGGGCGGGGCAGTCCGCAGGTGCAGATGGAGGAGGCCAGGCTCAGAGATCCCGTCATCGTACCATGAAACAGACAATGGGACAACGGGTGAATAGCAATGAACAAACTACAGTCAGAATCCTAAAAGTGCTAAACAGATAAAGTAGGAAGGAGGAGAGGATAGTGCTCAAGTTACCATACTTCTCCCAGCAAACTGACTCCCTATGCAGCTTGACTGACACTCTGAGGAGTTTAGCCTTCCCAGAGTCTTACCTTCCTAGCCATATGCTAAACTAAAGAGGACTGTTTTAAACCTAGCCTTGAATAAAGAGATTCATGGATTGCACACCAGGTGTGCAAACCGATCCAAGCAAACCTAATTATATATTATATATCATATACATCATATATACCATACATACCATATATATCATATATAATACACAACATAACATACAGCATAATAATAACAAAATATACAACATAACACAATACATTATTGTATAATATATAACATAATATATAACATAATACAGCATACATATATAATTTATACACCATATATTATATATTACCTAATTATATGCTAAATTAAAGTAAAGTGCTTTAAGCCTGGCCTTGAATGTGGAGACCGTATCTGCTTCCTTAACATAAATGGGAAGCTGATTCCACAGTAAAGGAGCTTGGTAGCTAAATGCTCTGCCGCCAACAGTGATTTTTGAGACCTTAGGGACCACCAGACGTCTGGCGTTTTGTGAGCGCAAAGCTCGACTTGGTTGATACGACACTAACGTGTCTTGGAGATAAGAAGGAGCCAAGCCATTTATGGCTTTATATGTTAAGAGAAGGATTTTAAACTTTATTCTGTACTCCACAGGGAGCCAGTGGAGGGATTTTAACACCGGAGTTATGTGCTCCCTCCTTTTGGTACCTGTTAAGATCCTAGCTGCTGTATTCTGAACGAGCTGAAAGCTCTTCAAAGAGGCTTTAGGGCACGCTGCCAGTAAAGCGTTACAGTAGTCGAGCTTTGAGGTGACAAACGCGTGAATGAGTTTTTCCGCGTCACTTTTAGGAAGGAAATTCCTAATTTTAGCGATGTTCCGTAAGTGGAAGTACGCCGTTTTAGTTGCTTGGCTTATATAAGCCTTGAAGGAGAGTTCTTGGTCAAAAATGACTCCAAGATTCCTCACAGTGTTACTGGGTATTATACTGACATTATCGAGAGTAACCATCTGGTTAGTGAGGGAGTCACGCAGGCGCTTCGGACCGAGTAGGATCACTTCTGTCTTCTCCGGGTTGAGAAGTAGGAAGTTAAGAGTCATCCACATTTTAAGGTCCTTTATGCAGGCACTGAGCTTTTCTAGCTGATCTGTCTGGTTAGGCTTCATCGACAGATAAAGCTGTGTGTCATTTGCATAGCAGTGGAAATTAATTCCATGCTTTTTAATAATGTTTCCCAGTGGCAGCATGTAGAGAGTAAAAAGAATCGGTCCGAGTACCGAACCCTGCGGCACACCGAATTCCACTCCAGAATAAGGCGACGAGTCCTGATTCACATTGACGAAGTGATATCGATCTGATAAATAGGATTTAAACCAGCCAAGGGCTGTTCCTCTAAGACCTATATCACATTCTAGCCATTGCAGTAGAATGCTGTGGTCTATTGTGTCAAATGCAGCACTAAGGTCCAGTAGGACCAGCACCATTTGTGACTTTGTGTCTAGTGCCGTTTCAGTGCTATGATGAGCTCTGAATCCTGATTGAAAGACTTCAAATATATTATTTTCCTGCAGGTGGCAGCGAAGCTGCTCAGCTATAAGTTTTTCCAGGATTTTAGATATAAAAGTGAGGTTTGAGATCGGTCTGTAGTTTGTAAGTATTTCTGGGTCCAGGTTTGTTTTCTTCAGAAGGGGTTTGATTACCGCGGTTTTAAAAGCTTGTGGGACATAGCCACATTGTATGGATGCGTTTATTATATTTACGATAGGCTCCATTATCAAAGGAAGTATGTCTTTGAAGAGCCATGTCGGGACTGCGTCTAACATGCAAGTTGAGGCTTTTGAGGATGTGACCACAGAGATCACCTCTGCTTGGCTCACAGCCATGAATTTATCGAGGCCCACTGAAGAGTCTAAGTGGGAAGTCACGTATGCCGCTTCAGCCTGTCCACTACCAACAGCAGGAGTAACCTCCTCCAGTTTGTCACGGATGGATGTAATTTTATTATTAAAGAAGTGGAGAAAGTCGACACTGCTCAGTGAGCTTGGAATTTTAGGCTCGATTGCGCTATGGCAGTTTGTGAGTTTAGCGACGGTGCTAAACAAAAATCTACTGTTATTTTTATTCGCTTCTATTAAAGTTGAATAGTATTGAGTTCGAGCCCTGCGAAGGGCATTCTTATAGTTTCGGAGACCTGCTTTCCACTCCCTGTGGACAGGCTCCGAGTGGGAGTGGCGATATAGCCTCTCCAATTTTCTGACGTCCTGTTTTAAAGTGTGGAGTTGAACACTGTACCAGGGCGACGATGATCTAATCCTAATAGTTTTCTGTTTTAAAGGAGCTGCTGCATTTAATGCAGATTTTAAAGACTCCATAGTGTTGTCCACCGTTTGGTCAATGACTGAGGGACTGCAGCAGCTGTGAACAGGTTCACCTGCAGCAGTATTCAACATAGGCTGTATTAGTTCTTTGAACCTTGTGATAGATTTATCATTTAAGGTTCTTTTCATTATGGTTTTATCTTGCGGGACAGGAAAGTCCTCCAAATCGAGATCAAACGTGATCAAGAAATGGTCAGACAGCAACGAGCTTTGACGCTGGATGTCAACATTGGAGACATCACAGCCGTAGGTCAGGACAAGGTCCAAGGTGTGGTTATGAATGTGAGTAGGTTCCTCAACATTCTGAGTAAAACCAACACCGTCTAGTACGGCGCTGAAAGCTTTGTTTAAGCTGTCAGTGCTGTCGTCCACATGTATATTGAAGTCTCCAGTTATAACTATGTTTTCCCATTCCAAAACTAGGTTTGAAATGAAGTCCGAGAATTCTGTTAGGAACTCGCTGTAAGGACCAGGAGGTCGGTATAAAACTATAAATAGCACCGCTTTTTGTTTTCTCCACCCAGGACAGGTGATTGAAAGTGTTAAGTTTTCAAACGAGTGAAAAGCATTGTTGGTTTTGGGACTAAGAACTAAGTTGGTGTGTGATATAATCGCAACACCACCGCCGCGACCTGTAGTTCTCGCTTTCTGGTAGTTAACATGCGTCGGAGGAGTGCACTCATTCAATCTAACATAGTCGTCCTGTTGGAGCCAAGTCTCCGAGAGCGCAAACAAATCCAAGCCCTTGTCTATAATAAGTTCGTTTATGAGAAGCGATTTAGACGAGATTGATCTGACGTTCATTAAACCACATTTAACAACCCTACCGCTAGAACTATTTCTGTCTGTCTGAACTTTTATTAAGTTACTGTGTCTGACACCCAGGTCAGATTTCCTCGCATATAGTGCTTTAGACTTCAAGCGAGGAACACACACAGTTTCAATCTGACTAGGTTCTGAGGCTAGTAACTGAGCACACACAGGCACACACACACATGCACACACAGTTTCAATCTGACTAGTGTTTTTAGTGTCGCTGGGCTGCCGTGGCGTGCATGGCACAGATGCCCCGCGAGGATGGCCATTACATATGCCCGCGGTGGCTTGGGTATCGCGGATTTGAAGACAAAGGCCTATGACTGTGGAACGCCTGCCCCTGTCTCCAATTGTGCGCCTGGTACTGCCACACTCTTGAAGCAGTGGACCGCCCTGGCGGCCCTGATCGGGACATGAGGCTCTTCAGAGGTGCCGCCCATGCCTGCCGCCATTGCTGCCCAGCCATTGGGTCTAAGCGTGCGGCTGTGTCACATGCTTCCTCGGCTTCTGCTGTGGAATGCTCGAAGGGTGTGCCTGCAGGGTTGTCTGCAACGGATGGACCACCTTGCGTTGAGATGGCCAAATGAAGGCAATACTTAAGGATGTTCGTCCGGCTTCGGTGGAAACAGGTGCTGTGCCCTCCTGTGCCGGACCTGCCCCGTTGTGGGAGGACGATGTGATGTATGTGTGGACTACATCTGACACTCATTTTTGTCTTGACCTGTTGAGGTTGACCTCCAGGGCCTCTGAGGCTTGGTTCCTTGCGTCCACTGGGGTGCCTGGGCCCAGCGTGAAGAGTGGGGCTTTCACTCTGCTTGTCCGCTCTGCACTCGCCCCACTGTGGGGCTTGATGTAACCGCAGGGAAATTCTTTGGTCGGTCTGGTTAGCGCCTTCTTTAGCGACAGCTGGCCCCTTACCTCTGTCTCTGTGACTCCTTCGACGGAGTACGTGAAGGAGTTGACATGCATTGCTGGACGGGATACCGAAGGCTATTCAGGAATGACGTCCGAGGGCCGGGCTTTGGCTTCCCAATGCAGGATGCCCCCCAATTTGCTTGGGCCACATTGCCGCCCGTCGAGCACCGGCTCAGTGGCCTCCTTGTTGTTTCCGCCGGAGGGAGGCACTCGGTCGATCCGAGGTGCACTAAAACCCCCAGTGTGTGCCTCACAGATGATGCTGCTGTGATCGGGCGTACGATACTGTGGGCGGCAATGGGGCGCAGGGGGAACTCTCTTTTACCATTGTTACTGGGCCTTTCAAACGCATTGGAGGTTTCTACAGTCGATGCACCGACCCGGGAACTGTTGGATGCGATCCTCCCTCCACGCTTTACGCCACTTATGTCGCGGGGGGGGAACTGAGGGCCCCGCCTGCTTCGACCCTGACTAGACAGTTAGGTGCGGTGGTGGTTGGCACAGTCAACCCTCACCTGAGCCCCTGTAGGCGGACACTCCGGAGTAGTGTTCCGGTGATTCCGGGATGGAGCTCTTTAGTGGGCTGCCCCTTCAGGGCGCTGGAGCCGCGCCACAGCGGAAGGACACACAGGACCGCGTGAACAGATGGTTCGGGCTGCACGGCGGGCCTCTCCATGGGTCTGCCCCTCCTGCTGCTACTCCGCGGAGTGTATGGTGTTCCACAGCCTTTCCTAGTGGCGTTCGTCGGGCCACCAGGTGTCCCTCGCTCTGACCATAGGGGGATTTCGGCCTTCTACCAGGCTGGGCCTCCCCAGAACGCAGGGGCTAGGAGATGACGGTCAGGCCGCTGACGGTGGATTCTTTTAACCTGGGAGCAGTTGGACTTCTGGACACGTTCACACCTCAGACCTCTGGGTGTTGGGCCACGCTCTCCAGGGTTACACTCTCAGTTCCACAGTCAGGTCCTGCGGTCCCGGGCCCCGTCAGGTGCTGTATGTGATCCTCGACCAGCGCCAGGACACTGGCGCCTCTTTCAGTCTTAAGAGATCGCCACCTTTGCTGGACAAGGAGGCCTATAGTGCCTGTGGACCCCTGCTGGACCCAGGGGGCTTTTATTCAATTTATTTCTGGTTCAAAGAAAACTGGCGACTTGCGTCCGGTTTTCGGACCTTCGTAGGCCTCAATGTGTTCCTCAAGACGCTATAGTTTTGGATGTGAGGAACCCCGGAGCTGTTGCAGGCAAAATCTCCGGGCGATTGGTTCGCATCCATCGACCTGAAGGATGCCCTATTTTCATGTGTACGATTGACACCGCATCACCAGCGGTTTCCTGCGTTTTGCTTTCCAGGGGTGGCATATCAGTTTAGGGTGCTTCCCCTTCGGGCTGTCCCTGTCCCGCAGGGGTCTTTTCCGGGTCGTTTGCGGCGGGCCTGGCCCCTCTTCTAGGCAGGGGGGTTGTGGGTCTGCCACGGACTGGCCTCGGATTGTGCGACCCCAGTCGTGCCCAGGCCATTCGTGTACAACTAAGTACGTCCCTTAACCAGTTGGGCCGTGCGTGGGTCTGCGGGTCAATGTCGCCAAAGTGAAAATTTGGTTGTCTGGCTAAGGCAACGATTTCTTGGGGGTGTACCTACATTCGTTCGCATGACCGCCCGTACGTCGGCTCTGCGGGTCAATGGCATTGTGGACATGCTCGGATCTGGACGAGAGAGAGCATGAGGTACTTAGCAGATGGCGCCGTGTCGGGCGCTGCAGTGAACGGCTCTGGTTGCGCACAATCTGTGTTTGTTGGTTTTTCGTCTGGGATTCACTTGCCCACCAGTGAAAATAATGAATCGGCATACACTTCTGTACATTCGGGACCTCGGTTGTGAGGGCTCACTCGTTTTACCCTGAAAAACTGAGGTGACACAAACGTCCATCGAGTGTCCCACTCGTAGACGGCTGGTGGAGTACGGCAGGCGGCGCCACGGCGGTGGCCGCCAACAGAGCGAGGGTGGGGGCGGGCGTCTTCAAGCGTTCTTTCTACGGCGATGTGGAGCTGGGCACCTTTGAGTCGGAGAAGGAGGGCGCAGACACCGTGGAAGGGCGAGGCGGTCTGCTCGTTCGTTAAGCCGTCTCCAGGACCCCATTGCACTCCATCTTACATGGCCAACGTCCAGTTCTCTGCCCAATCAAGACGGACAAGCTACTGTGCGGGTACCAGAGCCAGCGCGAGGCCCGGGACTGCTCTGGTGTTCTGTCTAAGCGAGACGTGGCTCCACTCGAACGTTCCCGGGATCTCTGCTGTTCAGCCCCCGGGATTCACCGCTCTCAATCCGCAACGGAACAGAGTGAAAGGAGACCCACGGCAATGCCAGAGGCGGAGGTTCGTTGATTTTTAATTAATCAGCGCTGGTGCCGACGGACAACTCGAATCGTGAACACAATAATCTACTGCCAAATCTGGAATGCCGGCCCTTTTATCTTCCCCGTGAGTTTTCAGTGATACTTTTTATGTCGGATATTCAACAAAGCATCAACACAAACATCTCCTCTGTGAAGTTTCAGTTCCACCTGAATGAATGTGCGAAGTCCAGAGGTGGAGGTGTGTGCTTTTTAGTTAATCAGCGCTGGTTTCAATAAATGTAAGTTAAAAACTACTCCCGAACTTTTACCAACATGTGACTCAAGCTACAAGAGGAGCACAAACTCTTGATCACTGCTACAGTAACGTGAAGGGAGCTTACAGGTCCAGTCTCAGACCTCCTTTCGAGAAGTCTGACCACTCCTCTGTTCTCCTTTCCTCATTCACTCAGAGGAGCAGGGAACATAAACCAACCTCTCGCACTGTGCAGTGTTGGTCTGAGGAGGCTAGCATGAAGCTACAAGGTTGTTTTGATGCTACGGACTGGTCTGTGTTTCAGTCAGAGGACGTCAAAGAATTCTGTGACGCTGTGTCTGAATACATACGCTTCTGTATTGACTGCTGTGTCCCACAGAAGGTCATTAAAGAACATTTTAGTCAAAACCCTTGGATGAACGCGGAAGTGAAACTGAAACTTCATGAGCGTGCGTTGGCGTTTCAATCTAATGATACAGTTGCTTATAAGTTATCCTGTTACTCATTGAAACGTTCTATTAAATCTGCAAAGCGCAGTTACGGGGACAGGTTAAAGAGTTATTTTGAGGAAGATGACCCTCGGCGCATGTGGAACGGTATTAAAGCCATCACATCGTGGAAACCTAGCGCTGGGAAAATTGCATCTGTCGGCCAAGCTCTGCCAAACGAGCTGAACACGTTCTACTGTCGCTTTGAATCCGCTGATGCCTGTCCTACTGTATTCCCTGAGTGTTTCAATCAAGGTACCTTCACCGTGACTCAGGAGGAAGTCAGGCGTGTCTTGTCCAGGACCACAGTCCGGAAAGCCCCAGGCCCGGACGGCATCCCTCCTCGTGTCCTGAAACTGTGCTCTGAGCAACTTGCCCCTGTGCTAACAGACATTTTCAACCTGTCGCTAAGGAACTGTACTGTGCCGAACTGCTTTAAAGAGTCGGCCATCATTCCAGTTCCTAAGAAAACTCCTCTGACATGCCTGAATGACTATCGTCCTGTGGCCCTCACGTCTGTTCTTATGAAAACTTTTGAGCGGCTTGTGCTGGACTTCATTAAGAGCCAGATCCCTGTGAGTGTTGACCCGCTCCAGTTTGCTTACAGACAGAACAGGAGTGTGGAGGATGCCATCTCCTTTGCTCTGAACTCTGTCTACAGTCACTTGGACACTAGTAAATCTGTCGCGAGAATGCTTTTCATTGATTATAGCTCTGCTTTTAACTGCCTTGTCCCAGGTAAACTGATTGAAAAGCTCATGTCTCTCGGTTTAAGTGTTGCCATGTGTAAATGGATTTTTAGCTTTTTAACTGACAGATCTCAGAGAGTGAAAATCAATGACTGTTTTTCTGATGTTGTTTCTGTGAGCACTGGTTCTCCTCAGGGATGTATTTTGAGTCCATTGCTTTTTACTTTTTACACTCACGATTGTGTGTCCTCTGACTCAAACTTGATCATCAAATATGCTGATGACACCACCATCATCGGTCTCATCAGTGACAATGATGAATCCTCTTATAGAGCAGAGATACAAAATATGGTTCAGTGGAGTAAAGTAAACAATCTCCAGTTGAACGCATCGAAAACATGTGAACTGGTCTACGACTTCAGTCGCAATAGTTCTCATTTGCCTGTCGTAATCGACAACTCCCAGGTGCAGATCGTAGAGGAGTGCAAGTTTCTGGGTTTAACTCTGTCTAACCTGAAATGGGTTAAAAACACTGACCGAGTCGTTAAGAAAGCTCGTCAGCGTCTCTACTTTCTGTGGAAACTTAGAGAATTTACCACTAACTCTAAGATTCTGCTTAACTTTTATCGCTGCACCATTGAGAGTTTGCTTGTTGGTTCTGTGTCTGTGTGGTTTGGAAACATCACAGATAAAGAAAAGAGAGCTTTAAACAGGGTGCTCCGCTCTGCAAAGAGGACTGTGGGCTGTGAGCTTCCTGTTCTGGAGGTTCTTTATAAATCCAGACTTTTAAACAAAGCTCTTAGGATTGTCAATGACTCTTCTGGTCACCCTGGAAAAGCCTTGTTCCAGCTTCTTCCTTCTGGCAGAAGATATCGTTCTCTGAGATGCAGGACATCTCGACATACTAACAGCTTCTTCCCACAAGCTGTTATACGTTTGAACAGAGCAATTTAATGATCTTGCACTTTGTATTGATACTGTCTTAGCCGATCATTTTCACAGTGACAATTGTTTTACTGTTTTATTTGTTTTTTTCTGTACTTTTAATGTTGTTTTATGTCTGTACTTGTGCACACTGAGGACTTTTGCAAATGAATTCCAATGTGGTTTTGCTGCAAATGGCAAATAAATTGAATCTGAATCTGATCAGTTTCTTACCAATGGCAACAGAAAATTTCACACACGACTTCAATTTGGAGCTAGTTCTGAAATCCGTTCTGCTGCACCTGGAGAGGCTGATGTTGGTAAAAGCGTGTGGTTTATGGAACATAAAATAATATCAGAATGAAAGATGATGATGAAAAATAAGGAAATATCATGTGAAAATCTGAATCAGTTTGCAGTAAATGTAGTTTTGAAATGATATGTACCTGTAAAAATACATTATAATCTTTCCTGAGATTTCTCATTTTTCTGAGTTTTTAAGAGTTGTTCCTTTCCAACCGCAGGAGGGTCTAAGGCAGGCATGTTCAAACTCAGGCCCGGGGGCCAATTGCGGCCCTCTGCTGCTAACACAAAGTCGCGATTAAGGCACTTTGACAATGTCATTCAACCAACTTCAGCTCCACCAATACAGTCATGCTATACCTTGTTGTAAAACTGAGACGCTCTAGAATCCAGCTGTTGACTCTATTGTTATTTACGGAAATTTTTTTTATGATTGTGGTGTGAATCAATAAGGACGTATCATAACCCATTTTCAATTCAAGAATCCAGTCCATCCAGATTGAATCCAGTTTTTCAAAAGCAGTTTGTCGGCCCCAGGTCAAGTCTGATGAACTAAAGTGGCCCTTTTCCTGAAAAGCTTCGACACCCCTGGTCTAAGGACAGTGGTGATCCAGGACACTCCACCTTCAACTGCATTTATGGACATCGGCCACCTGTGTTTATCGTTGCATTTACTGTGTTTGAACTGTTTGATTCTCTGATCTGCATTGGCTAATCGACAGCTGTCCGAGATAACTACCGATGTTTGTTAGAGCCATACAAAAATAAATGGAATTGAAATTGAATGGAGTTAAGAGTTAAGAGCTTCTACGTCTCTCAGACCTCTCTTCAAAGTAGCTCAGACTCTTGACAAGTGTAAATATTTCAGAATCGCATCTCTCTCCTGCTAGCTCTAAAAACACCCAAAGAAGCAAACACAGCCGATGAAAAGATATTCCAAATGACATGTTTCTGACAACACGTTATTTCTCCCCATTCTGTCGCCGAGTCGGAGAGGTTTTGAAACTCAAAAAGCAGCCGTCAGTTTCTAAGACGGACACTTTTCTTTTAAGGCAAAAGCAGGAGGCGCTAATAGACACGGCGAGAGCGAAGGCACACGCACACACGGCTGTCGAGCGGATTGATTGTAATAGCTTTGTTCTGTGGGATCGTATTAGATGAGTTCTATTAAAGAAAAAAAGAGATTCCGAGTTAAATTTG